ATCATTTCTCTCAGAACCCAGGACAGGCAGGCACTGCCGTGTTATCTTAATCTTCCACAACCACAAAAGATAGCAAGTTCCATTCCTGTTTTACAAAGAAACATTCCATAAACAACGTCCAAGATCACAGAAAGTGTGGTTTATTCTCAATGAGTACTTATTGTATAAATGATTATTAAATAAGAGAACTTACTTATTAAATAAAGTAAAAGAACTTATTTAATAAGTAAGAAAATAAGTAATTTAAGCACCACAGGTTCTGCATACCAAACAAAGGGCTTCTTACGTGTTTAGTAGCAGGGAACACACCACGGATTGACCACTACTCCTATAAAAAGTTCAGATACTGCTCACTGTCCACCAAAACCCAGAGAGCTGTTGTGGGCTTTGAGGTGTGGAGAAAAAACAGGACAAATGAAGGAAGCCTGCGAGAGGTGAGGCTACTGTAGCAGGCAAGACATGGTTAGACAGAAAACAGGATTAATCTAAACCACGCATGCGTGCGTGCGTGCGTGCGTGCTTGTGTGTGTGTGTGTGTATGTGTGTGTGTGTGTTTGAGATAAAGTTTCATACTATAGCCCAGGTTATGTTGGAACCGTGAAGCTTAAACTAGCCTTACGCTCATGGCAATCCTTTTGCCTCACTCTGCCTCCCAAGTGCTGAACTACAGGTGTGAGCCATTACAGCTCTTCCCCCCCCCCCCGAGGCTCTACAATCTATGCCTACTAATTTTATAGTTTTCTTAATGTAAATACTTAACGTTCTTCAACATGGTAACAAAAAATGGAAACATCACCAAAAACAAGAAGACCATTAATATTTCCAGATACCACATGGCATGTGGCAGAATTGGGGTGTGAAGAGATACTGAGGGTTCCTGGGTTCTGTATTCTTTGTGCTACATAATTGATTAATTGACAAATGATGAGCTCCTGTGTAGAAGTTTGATTGCACATTATTAAAGAGTTACTTTAGTGGGTTCTCTGTTAAGTACAAAGTATAAATAGTACACAGCTACCAGGCTCAGCTTTGCCAGAACAAGAGTCACACGTAGAGAAGCAGGCTTGGTGCATGTTGAATTTGTGTCTCTGCTAAAGAATCTTGGGGTTTCCTGGGCCTCCTCCCAGAAAATAATGGAGGACCCACTTGGAACATTGACAGATGTTCTGAGCAATTCATATGTATGTTTTATTGTTGTCGTTCTAAAGATTTCTTTCTTCTTCCACGTATGGAGCAATGTTGTGAGTTTCCCCCATGTCAGCCAGGTAGCCTCTGTGTGGTTCCTTGGTTAACACTTTAAATTATTCTAGCCATTGCTGTCTTGGAAGATTTAGACTTGAAAAAAGAGATAGGCGCTTCTTAGTCCCATGATGGAAAGGAGGCTGGCGCCTGCCTCCTCCTCTTCAGTGCATTGGGAGCCTGAGAAAGACCAGGTCCAGGGTGTGAACAAACTGAAAACTGATGACAAGAGCCAACTTAGTGTTAAGGAAAAGGAATATTTTGGTTTTGACAGGATTTGAGGAAGAGTTTCTTTACCGTCTTTGGAGCACTCTGCCCACTTAAACTGAATTGATGCTTTTTTAAAATAACTAACAAAACAGAGTCTGTTTAGTCCTTTCAAAAGCTGTCAAATTTCTTTCTAAAATACATATGAATAAATGTTTTCAAAGGTGTTTCAGGACAGGAATTGTGATGCAAAAGAAAATGAAGGCAAAAGAAAACAACAGTACCCTTCTCACTGCTGAAATTTCCCCAAGTGCTGAAACTGTAACCTAATAAAAGCGTATCTTCATATTCAGCAAATATAATTGTAGAACATCTTGAGTTATTCTTAAGTTATTTATGTTTATATGTCACTTGTTTCATATCTTATCTTTGTGGTGTTTTTAATCTTAATTTACTGCCATGGGTTAAGCAGGCTGCTCTTCTAGTGAGGTGAAGGAGAGATATGTGAGAGTTTGGTTCGTAGCATTTTAAACAACTTCCTGTAGGCAATCTTAAACAATCACCTCTTTAAAGACATAGTCCAACTGAGCAAGCCAGGCTGGCTTTGAAAGGACCTTCGGCCGCACCACATCACCATACTAGGCTGTCTACCAGATTGGAAAAATAAGAATAAATGTGCAGATTATGTTAATCTTTATTATATATTATATACTATGCAGAAAACTCATATTTCCTAATACAAATTACTAATGGAGACATTTTAAAATATAATTAGTTTCTGTTAATGTTGCTCCTCTTGACACAAATGGTCTGATAAATATTTTAGAAGGATTTTTTAAATTATTCCAACCTATTTCATTTTACTACGTTTATTTTATCTTTTTTTTTTTTTTTTTGAGACAGGGTCTTCTATGTAGACACAGCTAGCCTTGAATTGTGATTTTGTGCCGTAGCCCATGAGAGTTACAGGATGTACCACTATGCCTCACAAATCACAGTACTTTATTTTGCCTCTTACAGAGATGCACTATAAACATGTAAGCAGAGCGATCAGCTCTGGAGCATCTAAGCACACCTAAGGTTGGGGTTAGGCTTCAGCATCATCTGAACCTTCATCCTGGGTGCTCAGCCCTCCTTGGTTCAGCCCTGCAGGAAAGGTGAAAATGCTTTGGTGGGATGTGTTGCTGGCCACACGCTACAAAACACTGAGCTAAAAGAAGCCAAGGAGTTTGAAAGGAAAAGTGTGCTGTGGCCATGTGACTGAGTCCCACCAAAATGCTCAGACATCCTGTTTCAGGACAGTGTTGCCACGGAGGGGAAAGTCAGCTCCAGATGAAAGTGAACTGGAGAACATTTCTATTTCTGTAATCTTTCTTCCTCAAGTCCCCTGCCCCTGCCCCATCCCCCTGCCTAACTTCACTTCCTAGTTACAGCAATAAAAAAGGAGGATGTATCCCAATGGAATGCTTCTTTGTTTGAAACTTCCTTACCCCCATTTATTGTCACCATTGCCATGCATGTGATCGCTGTGTGCGAGTGACATTCTCTACACAAGGGCAATTCGCTGTATTTCTTGCTGCTAGTGATCGACCTTGCTATTAAAATTAGCTATTAAATTAAAAATGCAAAAGAAATTAAAATGCAAATGTATTTCTAGCTGGCAACCTACTCCCAGGAGTCCATCTCAGAGAAATCAATGCGTCAGTAGATAAGGACATACAAGGGTGCGTATTATAGCATAATCTATAGTGCCAAAATGAAATTGAAATGATGCTGAACACTCAGGGAAGCAATGAGTGGATAATGTTCTATCCAATCGCAGAACACTGTGTGGCCATTAAAAAGATAAACTCAAGCTTCAGCCAAAGAACTGGTTGTTTCTCTCTAGTAATTTCAGGGAGAAAATATGGGCTATTTTTCACTAATAATGTTTAAAAGCCTTGTTTATATCTAAGTACATATAAAAACACACCTAAATAAAATTTAATGACTTTAGGGGGAAAGCAGATGGAGAGATAGTGGGCTTTTCCCATGCATTGCCATGGGAATGGGGCTTAATGGGGGTTTAACATATTTTTTTAAATAAACGGCTTAGGCAATAATACTTGAAACTTGTCCAACTATATAATAGTTCACCAGAAATAACAATGGAAGTAATGCTGGAGATGTAGCTTAGTAACAGCATTTGCCTCTGCAAAGCCATGACTGGATAACCAACACCACACCAAAACAGCAGGGAATAAGTCATCTGAGGAAATTTGTTCTCATGTGGAAAGGTATTGCTTGCTATAATGATACTAACCTAAATGTCAATCAAAATTTAAATCTAGGGGTCTGGAGGGATGGCTCAGTGGTTAAGAGTGCTTGTTGCTCTTCTAGAGGATCCAAGTTCAGCTCTCAGCACACATGTGGCTCATGTAACTCTAGTTCCAAGGGATTTGATGTCCTCTTCTAGCCTCTGAGGTCACCAGGCAAACACATGTGCACATTCTTGCACACAGACACACAATATAAATAATTTTCTAAATCTTAAAAAATTAAATATACATGTTTCCATTGTATGATACCTGGTACTATATAATAACCTTCATCTTAAAATATGAGCTGGGACAGTCATTGAAAACTGTCACTATATTAGCTCAGACTAGAGGGAGATATTACTTTCCTAGTCGATAGTTGCTGAAACTGAGAATTAGTGAAGACCTGCTGTTAACAGTTTACCCAGCTCACAAGTGGCAGGTGTAGGACTGAACTACAGACTTCTAGGCTTTTTTGTTTTTTTGTTTTTGTTTGTTTGTTTGTTTGTTTGTTTGTTTGTTTGTTTGTTTTTGAGATGAAGTATCCTGTAGCTAGCCCAGGCTAGCCTTGAACTTGCTATGTAGCAAGCATGTCCTTGAGCTGTGATCCTCCTGCCACGACTTCCCAACTGCTGGCATTCCAGGCATGAACATCACACCCAGCTTAAGGCTCTTGACTTTTCTGCTACATGTTCAAGTTCTTCTGAAACCCAAAAGGAGCACTGTGCTGTTAGCACAGTCTTCCTTACTAACATAAACTTAGTTGTGGGGCTTCTATGATGTATGGTAGATCAGGAAAGCGGGACATTCCATCACAAAGAGTTCTATGGGAACTGTTGCTCATCTAGTTTTGATCACTCTTAAAATTCAAGTCCTGCTTAACCAACCTGGGACTTAAGTTTATTATTTCAAAATCCTATGATATTAAGACAAATAATCATTACTGGAATGGTGGTGTAGTTCAGTGGTAGAGTGTATACTTAACATGCCCTGGGTTCTGGGTTCAATCCACAGCATTGAAATAAAGGCTATTCACTTATCCAATAAATATTTATTCATGTTTGTTACCATGTGCAAAGTATTATAGGAATTGAGCAGAATGTATATCAATATAATACCAGTGTTGTATACCAATATATACAAGCTACATTGGATTTTGGTATAGTTACTATTTAAATTTCAAATTCAAATTATTTGTTATTGTTAGAGTGTGTGTGTGTGTGTGTGTATGTGTGTGTGTGTGTGTAGGTGCCATGGTGAGCATGTGTAGGTAAGAGGACAACTTTTGGTTTTTTCTTTCCATCTTGTTGCAGCAAGGTCTCTCTTATTGCTTCTGGCCCCTGCATACTCCAGACTTACTGACCATGGGCTAGTCCTCCTGCCTCTACTTCCCCTCTTTCTGCAGTTGCATGCTGGGCTCACAGATGTTTACAGCACTGCATCTGGTTTTTACATAGGTTCTTGGCATCCGAACTCAGGTCCTACAGCAAGTGCTTTTACCCATTGGGCTATCTTCCCAGTCCCTAATTTGTGTTCTTAAGACACCCCTTTAAGAACATGGACTTAAATGGATAGAGGATTAGTGAGAACCTAGGAGAAGTTAGGGGAAGGGAAAGGATAGCATATTGTATGAAAAAAACAATTTAAAACTCAATAAATACAAAAATAATCCTTTTGATCAAAAATTGAATGGCAAATACCACCTTATTCAAAGATAACAGAACAGCCTGAGAAAAGATATTTACAACTAATAAAATATATGCTCAGTATGTAAAACTATGACAAGAAAACCTCTGAAACAAAAAGAAATGTAGTAGAAAATAGGCAACCCATAAAGGAACAGATAATTCCAGAAGGAGAATCAATGTCCAATCTTGACACCAAACAGTGCTAGACCTCAATAGTCTTCCAACAACCAGGTTAAAGCAACATTTAAAAAAAATTAAAGTTTGAAAACACCAAGTTCACCACAGACTCTTTGGGGAAAATGGATTGAAAACCCATGTTCTCTGTGAGCTCACCGATCTACAGCCGTGTTTGAAATGGTGTGTGCAAATGCATGAGAAGCACCAGATCTCTGCAACGGGAAAATATGAAGCAACTTCAACACCAATTATTAGCGCAGTTCAAAGAAGTCACCTGTGTGTCATTTGTACAGTGAAATATAGCACAGCAATTCCAACAGATACATAAGACAACATGCTGGCTTCCAATGAAATAGTATGCTGTGGGGTAGGGGGACATGGACATAAAACAATTCTGTATTTTGTCAATATGCACGTATGTGGTTGCAAAAAAAAAAGAAAAAAAGAAAAACCTTGAAAAACAAACACCAAATTTAAGGAAATTATTAACTGCTGACTTTGGGATTGGGGAGGGACACATATCTTATTTGTAATCTCTGCTTTTTTTTTTTCTTTAAAGCAATCTCCCCATGTAGCTCAGACTAGCCTTGAACTTGTGATCCTCCTGTCCTTGCCTCTCAAGTGCTGGGTTACAGATGTGCACCAGAAGGCCTTGCTCTTGTCATATTTGCATTGCCATTTATATCTGTAAAGACGAAATATCCACAACTTGCTCTAGCCCTGGGTAATGAGAACACTGTTGTTTGTTGTGACTTTCTTCGTGTTTACCGAACTTTGAATGTTTTCCAAGACACGTAAAAGTATTACTGTAAGTAAGTGCTCTTAAACAATGGTAGGTAGGAAGAGGTCCATTAAAAGACCATTCAAAACATAGCAGCATGCTGCATTCATAGTATCATAATGGAAATGGATTACTAAGATGTTTTGGAGATAAAGCGTTCAAACTGCTCATAAACTGGATGTAAAGAGTAAGAAACAGACGGGGTGTCTCTGAATTTTAGGTCAGATTGGTACCACTTCTGGCAGGAGGCTTGTTTCTTGCTTGAAGCTTGAGCTCACTAACACTTCATTTGGCTAAAACCATGGCTAATATGAAGCTTCCTGTATAGTTCCATCAAACACCCCTTTAGAACAATTACTTAGAACAACTTGCCAATCACTCCAGACACAAAGACGACTGCATAATCCCGTATATTACAGAGAGACCTCTAATGCCAAGTAATGCTTGGTAGGTTCCTGTTATGTTTTTCGTTGACAATGGCATAAATATCACAGGTATAATATTTAGAGCATCATAAATTTATTAGCCTCTGGTTCTGGAACTTACAGGTTTGAAAGACGTATGTGGGGGATTACTGCCTTGCTTTTCCAGCTTTGAAAGGCCAAGCTCAGGCCCATCTCCTTGAAATCCTGTCACCCCAAATTCCCTGCCTTAGCTTTCACATCTGTGAGTTTCTTGCCTCTATTTTACAGGGATGTCTGTGACCCATTCAATCTGTCCAGAAAATACAAAACAATCTGGCTATCTCAAGATCTTTTATTAATTTTGCACAATCTTATTTTCGAAAGATAACACATTTGCAGCCTTCAGGGCCGGGGTGTGGACAGCATTGGGAGCATTGTTCTCCTGCTCATAGCCTTTAAAGACTATTCCTTGCACTGAGCTCTACACTCTACACTCTTCAGTGTAACAAGTTTTTTTGGATTTTGTTTTAAGTACAGGCATAAGGTAGAGATGCCCCACAAATCAAAATTAGAAATTTCCATCTTAACCTAGAAATGCCCAGTATCTCTTGACATTTGTCTTTTATCAACTGTTTTAAAGAGTTAAACTTTAAGATTTTCGAGTTGTTCAGAATGGGCTTCATCTCCAAGCTTCAACTTCCAAGCATACTAAACTCTTCTTTGCAGTTATGTGGTACTTCAAAGCAGCCTACCTGGTAAGGCAGGCTCTTAGCCGTAGCCAAGAAGGCTGCCTTTAATCTCAACATTTTAAAGCCTCTTTTTTGGAATTGTCTTTAAAGACAGTTCACCAGACACACAGGAAAAGCCAGCTCATTATTTTAAGGTCATGAGGCGCTCTGCCTGCTCCGTCTTCTTCCCCTCTCCATTGTTTGAATCCACTTAGCTTCATCCCCACTCCTTCCTCTGCTGAGATTAGTGCCAGAGATCTGGGAGGTTCAGAGGAAGACCTGGGAGAGCCAGCTCTCCGCTAAGAAGGGGGCAGGGCGAGCTGAACACAGCACCCAGGGCAGCAAACTCAAATGCCATTTTATCTGTGTGTGCCAGCTTATGTCATGTACTGCAAAGGACATTCTATAATTTTTGTATGTCAAGAACTGATACCATTGCTATTTATTTGGTGGAATAAAGTGCCACTTACAGTGAAATGAATGAAACTAGGGACCATCGTGTTAATCAAGATAAGCCAAACTCAGGAAGACAAAAACGGCAAGTGTGTTTTCTCTCATGTGTGGAATCTACATTTAGATTGACATATTTATGTTTAATCTTACATGCCATGAAAGTAGAAGGGGAAATACTTAGGAAAAGAAAGTGGACAAACAGGAGAGGGGTGATGTGAAGAAAGTCTATGATATACCTGTTTGAAAATGCCTTAATGAAGCCCATTGATTTCTTCAATAAATTTATGCCATAAAATAATATGTTGAGAAAATTTACTGGTTATATATACAGATAAATGAAGACAATCTTGATAATGGAATTCTATGAAATATGAGTATAATACAGGCAGATTATGTTTGTGAATATTGGAGTTGTTAAATGTAAACATGATCATAAGTCATCTTATACTTTTAATTATTGAATTTACATAGTATTTGTCATAATCTTTTAGAGGTTTCATTCAGAATAATGTAAAGTATTTCTTACACACAGTGTGTGTTCTTCTTGGACTAATTAAGGTTGCTCTTCAATAAAATGTGTCCATATATGGAAAGTAATGAAAGGAAACACAAAATGTCCCCTTTAGATTGTAATCTCGCATAGGAAAAAATGTTTTCCTCCTTATAGGACAGACTTCCTCTCCTAAACACAACCGCACTCAGCTTCCTCCAGTGGCTCATCCTCTTGCTATCTTAATGAAAAACTAAATTCTAAGGCCAGACTTGCAATACGTAGCCACCCACATGTGGCCATTGATCATTTAAATATTCTTAGTCTACATTAAATATGCTTTAAGTATTAAACGCATAAACTATCAAAAACTTAGAATAAAACACCCCAAACTTATTTCATCAATAATTTTCTGTTAGCCACATGTTGAAATATTCAGATAGGATGAGTTAAATACGTTTTGAAAACTAATTTCACTGCTCCCTTCTGCTCTGCGTCTGTCTTACGAGGTCTGCAGTCTATGCTGTTGGCTCTTGTCTTTGCTCAGGTTATTCTGCTGCTAGGTGGTGGTGCCGCCGCTGTGTAAAGTCATCAGGGAAGTACTTCTTCCTGGAGAACCAGATGGCTCAGCCTCTGAATAAATATGCTGGAATGAGCTGTGACATATGTATGCACGAAAATGCATTTAACTAAAGCATTTCAAAGCATCAATCACTACTCTCTGAAACAGTTAGGTCTCCCATTTTTCCCCATGCAAGTATTAACCACAATTATTGCAAACTGTGAAGATGGTCAAAATCTACACCCAGACTTAGCTGCAACACCCTACATTTTACAGTTTTTCGTATGTGTGTGTGTGTGTGTGTGTGTGTGTGTGTGTGTGTGTGTGTGTTTTATGTATGTAGATACATGTGTTGTGATGTAGGAACATGGGCATGTGTGAGCACGTGAAGGCCAGATGTCAACCTCAAGTGTTTCTAAGAGTCATTTACCTTGCTTTTCTGAGACAAAGCCTCTCACCAGAACTGGAGCTCTCTGATTAGGAAGTTCTGGCTGGTCCAGGGATTCTCTTGTCTTTACCTCTCCAGGGCTAGGAAGTGTGCATTTCAATTTCTGTTTTGTGTGTGTGTGTTGGGGGGTGCTGGGGATCAAACTCAGGTCCCCGTGATTATGTACTTTACCAGGTGAGCTACCTTCTTAGTCCCTCTTAGAGAAGGAACAGTCATTTAAGAGTTTGGAAAATGGCTGGTAAATGTAAGCTTAAATAATCTTGATATGTAATTTACTGACTATTAAAAAACAAACAAGAGCCAAGCGTGCCTAGCCCATGTCTATAATCCTAGCACTTGGAAGTCTAGGGTTGCAGGAGGACTACAATGGGCTAGAGGCCAGGCTAGACTGCATGGTGAATTCCAGGGCAACCTGGGCTACATATCAGGACTTTGTCTAAAAAAAAAAAAATTAGAAAGTGGGGTGAGGGAATAAAAGAAAGGGAGGAAGGGAGGGAAGAAGGAAGAAATGAATACCAGGAGGGAAGGAGAGAAAAAAATAAAATGATAGAGTCAACTGCTACAACTGTCAAAATAATAGAAAAACATTACTAAAAATCCCACCAACTCAAGCACCACCTACGGGAAAGACCTCTCACGATTATAGTCAGATTTACTTTCCTAGTGCTGTGATAAGACACCATGGCCCAGCAACCTGTAAAAGAAAGTGTTTCATTTGCCTTACAGTTTCAGAGGGTCCATGACTGCCGAGGGAAGGAACATCGAGGGCTCACATCTTAATCCACAACCGCAAGGCAGAGAGAGGCACTGGAAATGGCTTTTGAAACCTCCAAGTCCACACTCAGTGTCACACCTACTGCACCAAGGCCACACCTCCTAATCCAAACTGTTCTAACAACGGGAGACTACACATTTAAACATATGAGCCTATGGGGGCCATTCTCAGACCACCACAAAAGGAAAGTCTGGTACTTATTTAGTTTCCTCTGTCCCAGCCAGCCAGCCAGCCAGCCAGTCAACCAGCCATATGTTCCAGAGGGACAAACTGTGCCCTTTTTTGGAATCCAAGCATCTATGGCAGCAGCAGCGGTGGTGACAGGGAACACTTTAGACATTTATGTTTCCAAGCAGGATCTGAGGGAGCCCCAGTGGCCTGATGGAAAAGGCATTGACCTCCTAACGTGCTCTTGAGTAATTATATCTAACAACTCCCATGCCTGCTCTTATAAAAAGGGTAACAAGCTATTGTATTATCTGTCTCTTCTCCGTTAATCCAAGTCTGTCCCTTTAGTTTACTGTCCTTTTCAAAACAGAGAACTAATTCACACATTTGAAGAGCTGATTAGTTTAGAAGTCCTGCGTTCAGCAAGCTTCCACACAATCAGTACCAGCACACACATGTTCATCACCCATAAACACTGTGGCATTCCTACCCCTGCAGCTCCCTCCTTTCCTACTGCTAAGAGTGCACTAGTCTACTCTACAGAGTCATCTATGGATATTTATATCCACTAGGTGTGACCATTTTCATGGTTCATCCATGCTGTAGTATGTACTTGTGTTGGTCAATACTGTCAACTTGATGAGATTGCGAATCACCCAGGAGACAAGCCCCTAGACATATCTGTGGAGGCTTCTCTGGATGAGCTGAGCCAGAAAGACTGATCCTAATGTGGGCAGTACCACTCCGTGGGGTGGCTCTGGATGGTCCAGAAAGGAGGCGGCCACTGAGCAGCAGCAGTCATTGCTCTCTGCTTGCCGTGGCTGCATTGTGACCAGCTGCCTCAAGCTCCGAGTGCCGTGACTTCTCCACTATGCAATGCACCCTGGAACTGTGGGTAAAGCAAACTCTTATTTCCTTAAATTGTTTCTGTATGGTATTTTGTTGCCACCATGAAAAAAAAAAATGAACACAGTATCAGTACTTCATTCCTTATGTTAAATAGTGTTCCATTGTAATAAATACAATTTGTTATTGGGTCTCTACTTTTAGACCAGTGTGAGTAATACTACCATTAATCTTTAGGTACATTTCTGCTTGAATATTTTTAGTTCTTCTTAGGAGTCATTTTGCTAGCATACGGTAATTCTGTTTCACTTTTCTGTGCAAACCTAAAGCATCCTACTGAGCTACATCCCCAACCCTTATTTTTTAAACATAGTTTTAATCGAAATACAGTTACACCACTTCCCCCTCCCTTTCCTCCCTCCAATTCCTCACATGTGCCCCTACTCTCATTGACAGCCTTTTTATTATCATTATGTGTGTATACACAAATATATAAATACGACCCATTGAGTCTGCTTTTATTGTTTGTGTGTATATGGTTTCAGAGTTGACCATTCTGCATTCATTGAACAACCAGTATGTGGACTCATCCCCGGGGGGGGGGTTGGGGGGGGTGGAGGCTGATTCTCCTTTGCCAGGAGTCATTAGTTGCCTATAATTCTTTGTCTAGGGGTAGGACCCTGCCAGTGTTCCCCCTTCCATGTCCATTGGTATTGCAATCGTTCTGGACTTGCTTATGCAGCCATTTCTAGGAGAGAATGTTTCACTGCAGACTTTCTGATATTCTAGTTCTTAGAATTTTTCCATGCCCTGTTCTGTCAAGTCCCCTGAGCCATAGATTCAGGAGCCGTGTTACATATATCTGTAGAGGTTGGGCTCTCCACAATCCACTGATCTCTGTATTGAGTCCAGTTGGGGTTTTCTGTGATGGTCTCTACTCACTGTAAAGAGAGGCTTCTTTGATGAGAGGTAGTGGCTATACTCTTCTGTGAGTATAAGGATAAGATTTAGAATGTAGTAAGGTATTTGTAAAATGTGAAGGTAGATTATTTTCTAATGTCCATAACATTACTAGTCCTGAAAAGCTGGCTAGGTTTCGATTACCAGGCATGAATTTTCTCCTGTTGAGGGGGAGTTAAGTTCAATTAGAAAGCTGCCAGTTACCAACAATTGAGTACCACTGACTGCTCAGTCACAGACGTCTTACCGTGGTGGTCACTGTCATGGTCCACAGGTGTTGCAGCTGGATAGGACTATTTAATAGTTTCCCTCCCTTGGTAGCTTACATAGTACATTCTAGTGCTATCGAGGCTAGAGCACAAGGAAGAGGCTTTCAGGTCAGATCCAGCTCAAATCAACCCAGTATTGTGGACTAAGTGTATGCTGCCTTCAGCCATAGGGGCCCACACTCAACCGCTGAGAGGCAACCAAGGGCTACATCAACTGTTTTGTTTTGGAGGTCACTTGGACTACCCTAACCAACCATTCAAAAAGAGGTTTCTTGTTTCTAGTACTGGAATTTTTGTTAGTGTGTGGTTCTTATGGGGAGCACTGTCAGCTCAAGTGGCTTCCTTTAAGCCATACATATATGTGTATATACACATGCACACACGTATTGTGTATAATTTTAGGTAAATACAAAATGCAATTTTTTTTTTTTTTTTGGTTTTTCAAGACAAGGTTTCTCTCTGTAGCTTTGCACCTTTCCTGGAACTCACTCTGTAACCCAGGCTGGCCTTGAACTCACACAGATCCGCCTGCATCTGCCTCCCGAGTGCTGGGATTAAAGGCGTGTGCCACCATCGCCCAGCTCAAAATATGATTTCTTGAGACCTTATCAAACAGCCTTGGTGTTATTTGTCATCCTTCCCTTCTTCTGTCTGTCTTGACCTCTCTCCCTTCTCCCCTGTTTTCCACTGCATATCACCAGTATCCTGCTATTCTCCTCTCAAGCCCACCCCAGTACACACACACACACACACACACACACACACACACACACACACACACACACACACACCCCTATGGTTCATTTCTACTCTCCAGACTTCTGTGGTTACTCCATGCTGTATACTCAAATCTAAGGTTTGGAGTTAGGAACTGCAGATGAGAGCTTGTCTTTCTGGATCTGTGTTACCTAACTCAATAGAATCTTTTCCAGATCCATCAACTTACCTGCAAATTTTACCTTTCTTTACAAGTGTATTGTGTATATGTACCATATTTTTATTATCCATCAATCCAATGAAGGACATTTAGGTTGTTTCCATTCCCTAACTATTGTGAATAGGACATCAATGAACATTGCTGAGCAAGCATCTGTGGAGTCTTTGGGGCTTATGCCAAGTAGTTGGGTCAGATAGTGGAGTTAATTTTAGTTTTTTGAAGATTCTCTATACTGATTTCCAGGTGATAATCTATTATACATAAGCAAATCACAAAAGTTATATCAGAAAACTTCTAGAAACAATGAACAACTTCAGCAAAGTGGCAGGATACCAAATCAACTTACCAAATCAAATAAACTTACCTAAACAAATACACAGACATCCTGAACACATTCCCATTTACAATAGCATCAGAGACAATAAAATATCTTGGAATGAACCTAACCAAAGAGGTGAAAGACCTCTACAATGAAAAATTCAAATATCCAAAAGACATTAGGAAATGGAAAGACATCTCATCTTCATAGATTAGTAGAATTAATATTGTGGAAATGATCATCCTGCCAAAAGCAATTTACAGATTCAATGCAACCTCAATCAAAATACCAATGACATTCTTTACAGGAATAGAAAAACATTTCTAAAATTCATATGGAATCAGATAATAACCAGTTAGCTGAAGAAATTCTGATCAGAATGAATACTAGAGGGATTATTATTCCAGACATCAAGATACAATATAGAACTTTAGTAATAAGATCAATATGTTTGATAATAGACAAGTAGACCAATGTAAAAAAAACAGAGGCCCCAAACATAAATAGTCAGCCATCTGATATTTGACAAAGAGGAAAAAACATATACCGGAGAAAAGGCAACATCTTAACAAATGGTGCTGGGAAAACTGGATACCCACATGCAGAAAAAAATAACATTAGACCTGTTTCTATCATCCTGTACAAAAATTAGATCCAAGCAGATCAAAGACCTCAATTTAAAACCCAGAACACTAAAACTTCTAGAAGAAAACATAGGCACTATCCTATAAAATATGTGTAGGTGTAAGAAAAGACTTTCTGAACAGGACTCCATTTGCCCAGGAATTACAGTAAACAACTGACAATTGGACCTC